ACGCGATCTTTGAGCCGTTGTCAGTGGTTGTGCTTGCTTGGATTTTTGGGTGTAGCCTGCAGTTGTCTCTCCAGATGGCACGTGTTGGGAGCTTGCAGGGTTGGCTGTTTGATGCACCTGTTTGCCGCCATGGGCCCGAGCCTGCGTTTCATTCCGAGAAGATGTTGTTCGCCCACCTTCAGGAGGTGTGAGGCCTCTTGGTTGCATCTGGATCACTGCAAGAGGATCCTCCATATTTAACCTCTCAGCAGCTGATGGATAGCCTTCACGCCTTCACCTCCCTGAAGAGAAACTCATCCAATATCCTGTGGGACGGTCCGCTCGCAAATACGTCCCCCCACAGGTCAGGAGAACTCAGAGTAGTTCAAATGTTTTGTGGGCTTGTGGCTTGTAAGCCCCAAAACCTGTTTTTGGATACATTTGGAAAGACTCCTATCAGACCTATCATCCATCTTGGGTGGGGGTTTTGGTCTCTTGTCGCTATGGTGGCACATTGGCCTTTGGTTTGGTTCATTGGGATCACCCGAATGGGCGGATAAGCAGTTCTGGCGTTTCTGACCACCAGGGAGCTGTGTGCGCCTGAAGCTTTGTCCAGGCCCCAGCACCTGTCCAGAGCCTAAAGAGAAAGTCAAGTCGGAATCTTCCTGTGACCATCTGCTCTGTAAGGACACAGGTCTTGAAAGCATGGGATCGTTGGAGTTATCTGACACTTATCTTTCCTTTTTGCCCCTATGGCAGGCATTTTTTGAGGCTCAAACCTTGAGCGCCATGGGGCTTCTCAAAGTTGGAACTCCCTTGCACTGGAAGGATTCCCTGGAGCATTGCAATTATGTCCGGGAGCATGGGATCTTGCAATTCATTGCCACCTACCGCAGACTGAAGCACCTGGAGAATGACCGCCTCTTCTATGGTGATGAGATCGAATATTCCATGCTCAAGGTGCGGTTGGTCATCTAGGTCAGTGGAGAATGCAGCTTATGTGCGAGCAGGAACGGATAATTGTGCTGAGTAGGTGCTGCCAATATGCCACACCCAACCCCAGCAGTGCCACCCGGAACGGTAGGTGGTCAGCTTTTCTATCCACTGCGGTGAGTCCACGTTTCGGTGCCAGATGACTTGGTTTCGGTTCCCTGTTCGGACCCCCCCCGGACTCAAACAAACGACATCAGCACTCGCTCGGCAGGTGGATGAAGCCAACAGGACGGTGAAGATCAGCCTGCGGGGTCCCGAGGCCATGGAGGCCTTGCGCAAGTCGGAGCAGGTCATCCACGCCTTCAGGGGCTGCACCTGGCACCAGGAGTGGGTCTGCATTTGGGGCCATGGCGCCAGCTTCATAGTAGAAGCATGCACAAGCTAGGACAAAGTCTGCCTAGTTGCTCCTGTGCTTCTAGCAGAGCCACAGGAGCGTCACGAAACCCATCCACAGGAGTATGGCAGCTGGATGTTGGAAGGCACTCCAGATTTGCCCTATGGAGGCTACACCATGAGTCTCACCTCGGTGGAGCAGAACATGCGCTTGCGTCGGGGTCGGCTCCTCTCCGCATTGGCGCGCGATGAAATCGCGCCCACTCTGGTGACCTTCCCGCTGATGGGCGTGGGCGAGTTCACGAGCCCCTCCGCCCCGCCGGGCGGCGAGGCCGGATGGAATTGGAGAAGCGAAATCACGCGATAAGTCAAGATCTGGAACCGAAGCTTTTTGGAAGGGACTGGGCTGCCTAGGCTTCAAGCCTGTTTAGTTTCCCAAAACAACAGGCTTCTTCAATCAAGCTCCCCCCTCCTGAGAAGTTTGAGACCTTCTGCGTCCAAGCCTAAGAAGGTACTTCCTAGTAGCGACTCCCAAGTGGAAAGGGTCTCACTTGTGACGCGGATTTCGGACTCGGATGCGACGCGGAGCTGTTGGCTCGCTTGTGACGCGCCCGTGCTCACCTTTGGATCTGGTGTGCTGCTGTGGGGGGCGCTGCGCCCCCCCCCACCCCCCCCCCGCCCCACGAAAACCGCTCTACATCACCGACCCCCGCGCCCGCTTCAGATGTGCCAGTGTGCGGTGTGCCCGGGGTCACGTTAGCAGGAGTAACAGTAACAGCAGTAGTAACAGTAGTAGTTGTTGTTGTTGTTGTTGTTGTTGTTGTTGTTGTGGTGTCGCAAATGAGTCCGTGTTGGTGTCGCAAGTGAGTCTGTGCTGGGTAGGTTTTGGTGTCGCAAGCGAGGCCCTTGCCCTCCCAAGTAGTGGGCCTACCCCTTCACCTTCCCCCCTTTGCGCAGAAAGGACACCGGCCTACCCCTTCACCACCTGGAGGCGTCCCAATCGGACTTTGTGCCGGACGTCTGCATCAACCCGCACCCGCGCTTCGGCACGCTCACTGGGAACATCCGGCGGCGCCGGGGGAGCAAGGTGGACATTCGGGTGCCGCTCTACCAGGCCAGAGCCGAAACAAAAGCCGTTCCACCCCCTGTTCTTTTTGCTCTTATAATTGTAGTATCTTCCTCATGGCAAATTCAATTTCAGTTGCTATTTGTTTGGAACTTCTGCTTGTTGGTTCTTTTTTAAGCTTTGGGTTTCAGAGCATCTGGTGTTTTGAACATGGGTTGGACGATTGGTTTGTGGTCATGCCCTGCCACCAGGATGTGAAGACTCCAGAGTTCCAAACTACCAAGGACCCACAGATTCACATGGACTGCATGGCATTTGGTATGGGCTGTTGTTGCCTGCAGGTCAGGATCCTGCACGAAAGTTTGAGCTTTTTCTCTTGCCCTTTCATCTTTTTCCTCCTCACTCCAACTGCCTTGACTGTTGGGAGCCATCTGGGCACCTCCAGAAAGGAAAGCCCGCTTTCTGACATGTCTCTAGATACTGCCAGTGGTGACCTGAGGTGACCTTTCAGGCCAGCGACATCGATGAGTCGCGGCTCTTGTACGATCAGCTGGCCAACCTCGCGCCCATCATGATGGCCCTCACGGCGGCCACACCCGTCGTCAAGGGGCGCTTGGCCTCTACGGACGTGCGCTGGAGCTTGATCTCGCAGTCCGTGGATGACCGGACTCCGGCCGAGAGAGGGGAGGGGACCAGTGAAGCAAACCCGCAAATGGCTGGCTCAGGTGTGGAGGGTCCAAAGTAGCTGAAGAGATGAAAGGGATATGATTGAACATAGGTCTGGTTGCTCATTCTCATCAGGCATGTGAGAGGCCATGGTGGAGAGTTGGTGGTCAACCCACAGGTGTGAAGAGGCAAAGCAAGAGCCGTTATGACTCCATCTCCTGCTACATCCATCCGGCCTCAGAGATCTATAGCGATATCCCCTGTGAGATCGATGACGACTTGCTTGCTTTGCTCAAGAAGGAAGGGATTGATGAGACGATGTCGTGCCACATGGCGCACCTCTTCACGCGTGACCCCTTGGCCACTGAGTTGATCAGATCGGGCGCCAGCGTAGGCTGGCGACCGAGTGCGCCAATGGCAGGTAGCCAATGGCCAGTAGTTATGCGCTCTTGCACTCTCCAAATTCAGTGGGTGATAGAAGTTGTAGTGCAAGCCGTGCAGGTTTTAGTATCTCATATTGTTCAACTGAGGCTGCGACTCACCTTAACATCCCATTGTAGACGGTTCTCTCACCTTAACATCCGAGTGTTCGGTGTCACCCAGGTGATCTTCGAGGGCCACGTGGAAGTGGATGACCTGGCGACCACGGAGC